TAATTTGTTTGTCAAGGTTGAGGCAGATCCATCTACAAGGCACCATGTATTTTGGGGTGAGTCTAGGGTCAGCTTATCTGCATGCTGACTTGCATCGATGTCAGATGTCAATTCAGTATTCTTGAGCAACACGTAGGTACCAGACTTTTAGTAGACTTAAAACTTTTGAATGAATGGTTGGGTTATTTTTATAAACACTGTTCATTGTAGATTGTAAGATTATAGTTAAATTTAGAGTTCTTAGATGTCTCTAACTCTTCTTGGAAAGAGGAAAAGACAAGCCACTCTTGAAACTAAAACTTCATTGAGCCTAGAGTACAAGTTGGCCAAGTGGCTTCCCTGGTCATCTGCACTCTGAAGAAGATGGAAAAGATGCTTCATGAATCTGTGCTGTGGGTTTAGCAACCTATACTGCCAAACTCAAAGCACTATTTGTCAGGTTCCTTTACAATTTAAATCCTACACATGAAAATTTCATGTGGTCCTTAAGACCTTCTGATACATAGTGTAATTCCACCATATTTCCAAGAACACGATGATCCATATTAGCCAGCAAAAAGTTAATTTTAATACACGTACTTCTGATTGGCAGCATTTGTCTAACACAAAGGAATGATAAATTGGTTCTTTTTCATATATTTTTTGGGACTAGATCTACCTGCCTCTACCTCCTAAATGCTGGGATTAAATTAAAGGCATGTGTCACCACACCTAGCCATTTTCATATTCTTACCCAAAGGGACTGACAAAGTCATAGCCAGAACTAACAATATCTATATTTCTTACTAAAGTGATGATACTGATAATGTTTGTGATGATTAATCATAGCTGACACCTTGACTAGATTTAGAATCAGCTGGGAGATTGGTGAGATGCACCTCTGGGTGTGTGTATAAGGGTGTGTGTATAAGTGTGCAAAACCCTCTCTTTTCCAGGGAGAATTAACTGAGAGGGAAAGGCAACATACCCTGCATGTGGGTGGCACCATCTCCAGAACTGAGACCCCTGACAGAGCAAAAGAAAAAGGAAATGTCAACCAGGAGCCCGGCTCCCCTTTCTCTGCTTCCTGTCCTCTCTGGTGTGAAGTGCTCTGCTCCTCCGTGCCCTCTCTGCCAAACTTAACTACTGAACCTGGGTTTGATTCCCAGCACCCATATGGCAGCTACGAACCATCCTTACTTCCAGTTCCAGGGGAATCTTACGCCCTCTTCTGACCTCTGTGGCATTGCACGACACGGGTGCACTCACACACATGCAGGCAATACACTCATGCACATAAAATAAAATTTAAAAAAAAGTGCATATTTCTCTTGAAGAGGACTTGAGTCTGGTTCCCAGCTTCCAGATAAGACAGCTCACAACCTCCTGTAACTCCAGCTCTAGGGACTTCAGGCTTTCTTCTGGCCTCCATGGGCATCATCCACATGTGTGCTTACCCACAGGCAGACACATATACATAATTAAAAATAAATAAATCTTTTAAAATATTTTTTAAAAACCACAGTTTTACTAGGATTACAGGTGTATGCCACCATACATGGTTTCTGTAGTGGTGGAGATGGAGCCCAGGGCCTCATGCATGCTAGCAAGCACAGGTCCAGCTAAGGTACTTACTCAGCCCCAGAATACTTTTCTAAGCTTGATTTGTTTTTATTTATTTATTTAGTGTGGGAGGGCTGGAATGTGCCATGGTACACATGTAGAGGTCAAAGGACAACTTGCAGGAGCTGGTTCTCTCCTTCCACCGTGTGAGTTCTGGGTTCAAACTTAGGTCATCAGGCTTGGCAACAAGAGCCTTTACCCACCAAGCAATCTTATCACTATGTATCTAAGTTGGTTTGGAACTTGTGGAAAATCTCCTGGCTCAGCCTCCTAAGTGTTGGATTACAGAAATATGCCCCTATGCCTGGCTTTTAATTTTGTTTATAATTGACAAATAATTATATGTGTTTTGGGTTAGTGTGGTATTTGATTCATGTATGAATTGTCCAATGCTTAAATCAGGCTAATATTTCCATTTTTTTTAGTGAGAACATTTAAAATTCAGCTCTCCAAATGAGAACTTTTGCATTCATCCTTTGGGCATTTCCAAATCACTTGCAGGGAATCCAAGGGAATGAATAGATTGCAGTTTGGGGATGTACAGGGGGCTGTAAATGGAAGGATGGTGTATACTGATATCAAGTCACCACAGAGAAGAGCTCCGAAGTCTGCGTAATGGATCTGTTTGACCTGCAGCCAGAGTCTAAGCTGCCTATGTTCTAGCAAAGATTCTAAGGCATTTCAGAAAACAGTCACTGGAGGAGACCAATAATAAATTGGGAATTTAGAAGACACTGGAGTTTTGATCTACTCAGAATGGAAAATACCTTGCTGAGACCCCCCCAAAAGCTGTGCCCTGTGAGCAATAACCATGCCGTATGAGTAAGGCCTAAGTTCCCAGAGCTAAAGAGAACTTTCATCCTCAGAGCCTAAAATACTCCTCAATTAAATAAAAGTGATCCACCAGCAATTTAACTTTCTGCCAAGAAAAAAAAAATCATTCTTCAGAGGAAGATAACAAAATCTACAGCTGCTGTAAGATTTTTTTAATGACTTTGCATGTGAAGAAACAGAGGAAAGTGCTGGCACAGTTAATAGAAAAAAATAGACAATGGAAAAGTCTCATAGATGACTAAGCTTTTGAGAAGGGGAGGTCTTTAAATTTTAAATATGTGACCACACATGTAGCTGGCAGATTACATTTAGAGATACACATATTACATTTTAGAGACCCAGCAGCATGAATGCTTACTCTTTATCACAAACAATGGAAGCTAAGATGGAAGGACTAAGGGTTGTTGGAGTGATTAAAGTGGTGAAAGGAAAAATAGTTTTGAACCTGGAATTCTCCATCAGTGAAAATGTGCTTCAAAAGTGAAGGCCTTCATTTCTACCTCCTTCTTCCCCTTTGTCAGTTGTCATAACCAATAGGGTCAGGGTTAGGGATCTGACTGGCAAGGTTGGTGGAGGAAAGGTTAAAATGGCTAGTATAGTTAGGAGACTAGGTTCATGCATGAAGGTTGACAAAATAGCATACTAAGTACAATAGCAGCCAAGGTATTATTGTTAGAGAATGGAGTTACAAACATGGTAAAGGAATGTTCTAGAATCTTGTGGTGCTGAATTGGCATCAAGCATTCTACTACTAAGCTGTACCCTTAGCCCTACTGGACTGGAATTGGAAAAATTAGAGTTAACTCATGGTTGCATAACTTTAGATTGTCCTGATACAAAACACTAATTGTTAATAAGCACATGATATTTATTGACTTTGTAGTCGAGAAACAAGACACATGCCATTTTTTGTGTGTAAAATCTAAATATAAAGTTTACCATTTTAATAATTTTTTAGTGTCTGCTCAGCAACATTAAGTACACTGTTGTGTAAAATCACTATCATTTCTCACCAAACCTTTCTCATCTTTCCAAACACTCTGTAACCATTGAATGATAGATTCCTATAACCTCTTCTTGTGAGTAGTAGAAACTTATTTGCACAACAGTGATTATAGTCAATAATAGTATTATGTACATTATATAATAAGTATGTACTTAAAAATTGCAGAGGTAGGGGCTGGAGAGATGGCTCAGCGGTTAAGAGCACTGACTGCTCTTGCAGAGGACCCAGGTTTGATTCCCAGCACCCACATGGTGGCACGAACCATCCTTAACTCCAGTTCCAGGGGAATCTGAAGCCCTCTTCTAACCTTCATAGCATTGCACGACATGTATGCACTTACCTGCATGCAGGCAATACACACATACACATAAAATAAAAATAATAAATAAAATATTTTTTTAAAAACTTGCGGAGGCAGTAGACTGTAGATATTCTTACTACTCACAAAAGAGGTGAGCATGTGAAGTGGTGGTCATGTTAATTGGCTTTTTAAAAAAAACTTTTTAAAAAATTTTATTATTTTTATTTTATGTGTGTGTATTGCCTGCATGCAGGTAAGTGCATACATGTCGTACAATGCCCATGGAGGTCAGAAGAGGCTGTTGGATCCCCTAGGACTGGAGTTATGGATAGTTGCTAGCTACCATGTGGGTGCTGGGATTCGAACCCGGGTCTTCTGTAAGAACAGCCCATGTTCTTAACTGCTGAGCGATCTCTCCAGCCCCTCATTAATTAGCTTTTTTTAAATTATTTTTTTATTTAATGTGTGTGAGTGTATTGTCTGCATGTTTGTAAGTGCACCTGTTTTGTGCAGTGCCCAAGGAGATCAGAAGAGACTGTCGAATTCCACTGGAACTGGAGTTACAGTTGGTTTTAGCCACAATGTGGGTGCTAGGAATCAAACCCAGGTCCTCTACAAGAGCAGCCAGTGCTCTTAACTGTTAAGCCATCTCTCCAACCCCAAGTTAAGTAGCTTTTTAAAATAATTTCCAGATATAAACATATTTCAAAACATCACATATATCAAAACATTACCCCATTTCCAGGTGTGGTGGAAGAAATCCCAGCATTTGGGAGTTAGACACAGGTGGATCTCTGTGAGATCAAGGCTAGCCTGGACTACAGGAAGACCCTGTCTCAAAAATCAACCCCAACCCCCCAAAACAAACAAAATATTGCCTCATTAATATTACAATGTTATGCTTTTATATACCAATAAAAAGTAAATTTTACTTTTAAAGTAATCATAGTATATAGTATAGATAAACATAATGTTAATTGTCAATTAAACTTTAATAAATTTGTGAGGGAAAACTGATATTTGAGTAAAATCTGTGAATTTGGTTAAGGTATTATGTCACTATGAATTTTCTAAATCTGGTTCATTATTTTTACAGCTCACATTCAAATGCTTCAAAATTTGTGTGTGTGTGTGTGTGTGTGTGTGTGTGTGTGTGTGCATGTGTGTCTAAGGGTATGTGTATTTACACACAGTGATTATGCAAATGTGACAAAAATGTTAACAGTAATTAAATGTCAAATATTAAAGTGGTATTTGCTTCTTACCTGCTGGGAAGATAAATGGATAAGGAAGGTGGTTTTCCCAGGGTGAGGTTCCATTGCAGTCATGTGCTAACCCCTGTAGTTTTCCAAAACGTGGGAAACTCAACTGCATGATTTGTGGTAGTTGGAGACTGTGTTTCTGCTCTCCCCTATTTAAAAAAAAAAGAAGGTATGCAGGGGCATGTGTGTGTGTGTGTGTGCATGTTACTCTTGCAATTTTTCTGTAAGCTTAAGATTTCAAAGGAAAACATTTTAAAAGCTAGAAAAATGATGGCTTGCTAAATATAGACCTCTTCAGACAAACAAAAGCTAGAGACTTTGTTGACAGCACAGAAAATACAAAGGAAGTTCCCAGGGCAGAGCAGAAATGATCCCAGATGGGCGCCTGTGTCTGCTGAAAGAACACTAGTAGAAACGGCAAGATTTCTAAATACACCTTTTGACTGGTAATTCAATAGGTGGATTAAGCACATGTGTTTGCTTACTCTCCCTCCCAAGTCCCAAAACTTACTATAAAGGCTGAAGTTATAAATATATAAAAATAGAGGGCATCAGATGATTGGCAATATCAACAAATCTCTGGAGATTGAAAGTGGGTGATGGAGTAAGTATTGAATGAGGAGGCAGTGAGGAGGAGGAAGCCCTTGCAGAACGCGAATGGTGTGGATTGTAGCTGAGGGAATGGCGCAGCTACCCTTAGCAGCCCAGAGAAGCTTAGGATTCAGCAACTCCAGGACTTGTAGAGAAAGCAAAACATGGTACTTTATCATAGGATGATGTATGAGTTATAGAATAGCAAGGAAAGGGCTAAAGAGTCTTATCAAGCAAGAGGGTTACACTGAGCTGAAGCCCTTGAACAGAATTCACTGGCTAGTTTGATGACCCAGTATTGGGATATTCCTCCTTTTATGTGATGGGGGAGGGGAGGTTCATCATTCATTGGTCTGATGTGTTCAATTAAGTTCATGAGACTGTGTTTGTTTGTTTTTTTCTAATATGGGCTTCATATGCCCATGTGCCTATGTGTTCCTGATTTAAACTGACAAATTCATAGGTGATAATATTTTATTCATGTGAATAAGCTGTCAGTCTGTGACATGGTTTGTGTTAGACAGACAGTGATCATCACGTTCCCTCTCAGCATTTGCACTCAAAAGACAGAAAAGGGCTTTTTTATAAAATGGAATCTCTCAGGGCAAAGCAAGCCTGAAAGCTATTCTTTTGTAAAATATGGAGTAATTTAGAGCAGGTTATAGCAAGATCTCCAAATATACATATGTCTAAATGCATAGGTAGAGAGCCATACAGATAATCCCAGAAAACAAAACAGAGCTTTGTAGATAAATCACCCCTGTATTAGTTGCTCCTATGTTGCTGTGATAAAACACTGTGACCAAGGCAAGAGGGAGAGTTTAGTTCAGAGGGTTAGAGTCCATAATGGCAGGGGAGGCATGGCAGTAGAGGTGGCCAGAGCAGAAAATCAAATGATCACATCTTCAAGAAGGCACAGGAAGCAGAGAGAGACAGGAAATCTGGCAAGGCTTAAGAACTCTCAAAGCCTACCCCCAGTGATGTGCTTCCTCCAGCATGGCCACACCTTCTAAAGGTTACTTGACCCTCCCCAAACAGCATCACAAACTGGACCCTATGGAGACACTCATTCAAACCACCACAACCCTGCAAGATCACTCCCTAAATAGTTGTAGGAATGACTTTTACAATATGGACATAATCTGGACCAAGGACTTTAATCTAATCTTATAACAAAAAAGTTACTATCTATAATGTAAAGAAGCTCACTAAGCCATGTGCTCCTTTTGTGATCTAGGTACCTGACATTCATTAATCTTTCAGGACCCCACCTTGCTGTCCACTCAAGATAGTGAAGGAATCTGGGTGTGTGTGATTAGCATGTCAAAGCACTGGAAGTAGCGTGTTTTTCCTCATTGAAAACAGTGAGAGGAATTGAGAAGTCTGTTTGAAATGTTGTGTGTAAAACTCTAGACCTAGGAATCAAAGGGCAAGATTCTCTGATAAGTATGGGTGGATCCTAGCTTCTACTTCCCCAATTCATGCTGAAGATACTGTTTCAGTAAGAATGAGTGAAGCCTGGTTGGAGAGCACAGCCCCCTGAAATATCTAAAGGAACAGGTGTTGAGTTCGGATCCACTGTTGGCCTTAAAACTAATGCTAAGAGTTAGGCTATTTATTCAGGCATAACTGCAATGTTGCTTAGAAACACCTCAAGCATGACTGCCCTGTGGAAGAAGGACTTAGCTAAAGACCAGCCAGCCAGTTTCATGGGCATCTTCCTTACACATAACTCTGGCTGCTTCCACCTCTGCTTAAACCTAAAGTTTATCTCAGCTCCTCAAAGATGGCTGCTCCAAACAGACATTCTTCTCTTTTTTTTTTTTTTTTTTTTTTTTTTTTTGCCTACTTTTTTGTCATTATTTTTGTTCTCTTTGACAGGTGGCCAGACCTGGTGTGTTGGGACTCCTGCACCCCATAGTTGGGTTTGTGACCTAGGACTCCAGTTACACTAAGGAAGTAGAACACAAAGGTGTAAGACTGGTTAGAGGCTGTGTCCAGGAGATTCCTGCAACACTAGTGGATTCCTTATCAGGAACCTTTCAGGTTAGGAGAGAGTAGGATGATACATTCAAAGTGGTGAAAACAAAACCCTGCCAGCCAAGATCTCCACATGGACATTGTGAGCCTGGCCAATGAGGCCAAGAAAAAGGCTTTCTCAGACAAAGCTCTGGTGCTCACCACCACTAGTCCTGCCTCACAAGAAATGCTAAGAGGAGCTACAGAGATGCTCAGAATTAAAGAATCCATGTTGCTCTTGCAAAGGACTAGATTTCGGTACCCAGCAGTCACATTGGGGTAACTCACAATTGCCTGTAACTCAGCTCGGGGGGATCAATGTCCTCTGCCTGCACTCACATGTCCACAAACTACCCTCCCATACACATAATTAAACTTTCTTTTTAAAAAATGCTAAAGGATGGGCCTGCTAGATGGCTTAGTGGGTAAAAGCAACTACTGCCAAGTCTAATGATCCTAGAACACACATGTTAAAAGGAGAAAACCAACTTACAGAAGTTGTAGCAAGTGCATGCCCATATATATACACGCAATAAATAAATAGAAAAAAATTTAAATGCTAAAGGAATTTCTTCAAGGTGAAGCGAAGGACACTAACAAGGTAATATATGAAAGTATGAATATTGAGAATACACAATCAAATTGAATATACGCATATTTTAAAGTGGTACATAATTTTTTTTTCTTTTTTTGAGACAAGGTCTCCCTGTAGCCCCAGCTGACCTGGAACTCACTATGTAAACCAGGGTGGCCTCGATCTCATAGAGATCTACCTGCCTCTGCCTCCAAAGTGCTAGATTAGAGGCATGCCCTACCAGGACAGGAACATAAATCATTTTAAACTTTAGTATAAAAGGTAAATTGCAGAAGGCATTTAAAATAACTACTGCAAGCCAGGCATGGTGGTGCATGCCTATAGTCCCAGCACTTGGGAGGCAGAGGCAGGCAGATCTCTGTGAGTTCAAGGCCAGCTTGGTCTACAT